CACCCGAGGCATGGGGGGTACGGTGCCTTGGAGGGATTCAGGCCTTCTGTTGGACCCCCAAGGAGTCCCTGTATCCCTCAGTGACCCCCTTTTCCTTCCCCCACTGCTAGCACTGGGGTGCACCATCTCACCCACACCACGACGGTTACTTACCCCACTGGTCAGGCTGGAGGGGCTGTGTTCCCTCTGGTTGCTCCTCACTGTCTGACCCAGCCAGGCCAGGGGAGGCTTTAAGTGCTGGGGGAGGCAGGGGCTGCCTGACACCCTCCCCCTGCCACCCCGAGCCCCTCTGTGGGCAGCAGCTGGAGTGGGAGAGCACCTGCGAGTGTATGTAATGGGGGATTCCCTGCTGGAGCCAGGCTGACGGGGCTGGGGGCAGTGGGGGTGGTCAGTCCTGGCCTGGCTGACCCCCCTGAGTGCTCCCAGCCACGTCCAACACCGTTTCCCAGGGCCTTTCTCCCACCCACGCCTGGATGAAAGCAGCGGAGGGTCAAGTTTCCACACCCGGCAGCTGGGGAAAAGGGGGATGCCCCAAAGGGATCAAAGCAGGAATTCACCTCCTCTGGGCTCTCACTGCTTTTGTTGGCTTCAAAACTGAATCTAGGGGGAGCAGCACCCCCCAAGCTCTGTAGTTTGTGGGTGTTCCTTTGGGACACTGAAGGTGTCACCCCAAGGGGGTTCAGGTCCTGCTGGGGGTACAGGGGTGTTGTACCCTCTCTGCTCATCCCAACAGCCGATCTTCTCCCACAGCCATCCCAGGCACCTTGCTGGGAGGTGCACCAGGATCAGGTGTGATCTTGGGGTTCATCCCTAAGGGACCAGGTGGGTCTTTCCCACCCAGGGTGGTGGAGAGTCACTGGGAGTGCTGGAACAAGATCCCCCAAAAGTATGTGCCTGCCCAGACAGAGTTTGAGGGATCGCAGTGCTGTCTCACGCCCCTGGCCTGGCACATTGCCGGTGGCTCCGGCCAGCCGGGCTCTCCCACCCCCCAGGGCCTCTCCCCACTGTCCATCTGCCTCCACACCAGCTGTCACCACCTCCTGCCTGTCCCCAGGCTGCGTCCCCAGGAACAGGAACCTCCAGCCCCAAGACATCCTCCCAGCCCCCACAGCTCAGCAGTGAGGGAAGCAGAAATAAAGAGGAGGCAAAACGTGAAAAACAAGAGGTTTTATTCCAAAATACGAAAGCCCCCAGGAGAGCAGAGCCAGCCCCTTGCTCAGCGAGGCTGAGCAGTGGGAAGAGCTGAACTCCTTGTGCGAGTTTAGCAACGGAGCAGGGCAGTGCCACAGTGGGTCCAGAGCCACCACCCTC